TGCCAACTGCTTTTAAACAAGCTCATTCCTTGGATTATGACATATCCTTTCGCAGGTTCTGATCCTTTGGCACCCTAGAAACCTAGCAGCTCAGGGGTCCCGTTTGATCCTGCAAGCGCAAACACGCATGAAGAACATCTGTAGTCTTGTTCGCTGGGGATGTTGGGGGAGGGGTTAAAAGGTCTGGATTGGTTTTCTCACCCGCCACCCGTTTTCCATCTACTACTGCCGCGTGCTCGTTGCTACCAATCCTTGAGAACAGGTTGGCATCGCGCCAAACCGAGCCCTTTCCCGTCCCGACACGCCCCAGCACCTGCTGCGAACAAGAAGGCGCCAACCTGGAGCATAGAAAATTTACCAATTTTCAAAATCACTCACTGTCTCGTGGTTGTTCTTTCTTCGCCCTCGTCTGAGGCATCATTGATCGGTTTCAGTTCCCTTATCAGAGCTGTCCTATAAGTATTTGTATCAGAATCTAGTTACGCTTGTAATAAATGTGTATATACCCAATCACAACCCGGATATAATGAGAACGCCTCGACACTCTAGAGGACTACCTGACCAATAATATCTAGAAATTGAGGGGAGCCATAAAAACCCACAGGTAATCTGCAGATAAAAGATATGAGAGAAAAAGAGATTCAGAAAGTGACCGGGGGAGGTGGGAGGGGAGAACGGCTATCGAGAAAGAAGCCAATGGCCAATGGAAAGAAGCCAGTGGAACGGCTATCGAGAAAGAAGCCAACGGCGCAGTTTGGCGACGTTTAGCTTAGCTCATGACAAAGCGGCACCAGCATTCCAAAAAAAGAAGAGGAAGAGTCATTTCATGTTGAGAACCAACTCGAAGATACGTTGCTCTCCCGAGTCTGCCCCAGGAAAAACTGCCTAGGATCAGCTGCGCTAGTGGCAGTCAATCGAGATATATCACCTAATCATCAGCCACAATCACAAGAGTTACAGTGCGTTTCGCTGCCGACTCTGGTGCCAGTCAGAGATCTCGGGTTTAGCGCAGCGCCAGGTCGCCCTTCAGCTGTTGAGCAAGCGACAACAAAAAAGAGGCTTGGCTGCGCAAAACCCAACCCCTGACGTGGCCCAGCGTCTGTGGCGAAAACGACCATACAGTGAGCCTGCTGACAAACTAAAAATCTATGGGCCGTATGGGTGGATCCTCTTTGACAACTGCGCCCTTCTCATTTGATTAGGCGCTTTCCACCAAGATAGCGAAAAGAAGAAGCGCGCCAGTGAGGAGAGCACTGTGGTCCAAGTAAGTCCGCCCCGTCGGTCACTGCATAATATGCCTTTGCTCAGGTCTCCAAGAAAGAGGACTTCATGGAAATGTTGAACTATCGACGAAGTTCGACCTATCAGCTTCGTTGATATAGGAAAAGTGCTAAAATCAAAATTCTGCGGTTTTTCAATCAAACTTACGGTACTGTAGGTGCGGTAGACTGATCGGGGTCTTCTTTCGAAATACGGAAGCATATGTTCTCAAACGCTTGACAAAATTCATCTTCTTTCTTGTCGATCTTATGCTGACCAGATAAGGCACACACTTTTACGTACTCATGCCGCAGTTCTGCACACAAGCGATCTGAAGGGATACGTTCGATATTTTCGAAAAAAATTGTGACTGCAATGTTTACACCGCCTTATAGTCGGCTGAATATTTGTTCATTACCTTGTCTTTTTCTGTAATTTCCGAGTCACGTGTCTTTCTGGTTCTGGGGACGTGATCTTTGCAAAATGGCAACGTGGGGTCGCGACTACATCCCATTGCAACGAGAGATCTTCCGCTTTGCACAAAGTCGCTATACCCATTAACAAAAGTAATCGCATTTTCTGAAGATCACGGCACAATTTATCACAACACTGGAAAAAACACGTAATCGGACGCTAATAATAAAATATCGTAAGCAAAAAGTTCGGATATGTGTGGGACATTATATCATGTGTTCTGATGAAGTTGTAATGACCTGATTCCTAAGAAGTAAAGACGCTTATTCCTCACAAGGGACTTATTCATCCACAAGAGATGTGTCTGAAATTCGCATCAGGGAATAAGTTCGAGCAAACAGGAGTTATACTCCTGTTCGCTCGCTGATACGAGTAGGCGTTGCATTCGAATGTAACATAAAATGGATTACTCGTGGGATATTTCATTTTGAGATAGCTGTCATCTTGTTCTGTGTTAGACAGCAGACAGCGACCATACTTTTGAATGAAAATATTTCTCTGAAAGCACAGCCACCATCCTGTTCAGTTAGGGTACGCAGCCACGCCTACCCGATCTCGGGTTTTCGAGTGCACAATATATGGCATGCGGTCTATCCCTTTCCCTGCTATTTACCTTTATCAAAGCACTACAGACCGTTTGCTGCAACCTTGCCCCGAAGAACTTCAAACTTCAACTTCGAAGGCGATTCTATTAGGTTATGACGAGTTTTAAGTTTTTATGAAGGCAGTTGGCCACGATAATCCGCAAGACGAAGTAGGATAATGGGCTTGCAGCGGACGGCAATCCCAGCGACTCTGAAAAGGCGCTGCATAATGCCTTTTTCAAGGAGGCGCCCTTATAAGGGCCCTCCCTCGAAAAGGATTGCCACAACATACCGACCCGGACGCCGCCACGCCGCCGCCCCCCCCCCACAATGAACGACCGTTCCTGACGCTCTAATCGATTCAGCGAAGCGAAAGGACTGGAAGCGAAGGGATTGGTATGAATGCGGCCGTGATGCTGCATGGATATATGAGTACACATATGCAGCCGTACCTTCGGTAGCGGTTATTGGCAAGATGCCTACAGGAAACTCGTCCAAAATTGATTTCTAACACATTGAGAACGGAGGCTCTTTCTTCGCAGGATTTTGACCGTTTCACTCCGTTCTTTCGCCATTTCCCCACTATATAGCGCCCTACTAGCATTTTAGGCCGAGCACAAAATCATCGTGCCAACTGCCTTCAATCCTCGTATGCAACAAAAGGATTGAGCACCTTGCCTTGCTTTCTAGGCTGCTGACCACCGAAATCGTGCGAACGGATTAATGAAAAGACCAACGCATAGTAGTGCCATAAAACACTTATAGCCACCATTCAAACCAGATTTCGAGCCTATTTTAACAGCCTATCTACAAGTAATCTGCGATTTGATTTGGATAGTCAGAATAGCAGATAATGTGCAATCGTAGGAATTTAAATTTTTCTTATCCACTCGTTTTTCAAATTGTCATATAGTTTCTCAACTACTCTTATGTAACGTATGACGTAGAACTCTATAAAAACCATTCAAAGCCACTGATAGCCTAGAAACATGCGCGGAGCAGAACGTGAATCATGATTGTGGAGAGGATCGCCACTATATCTGCCATTGTAGTTGAACGGAAGATAAAGCGTGTGACACCCTCAAGGAATAGCAGGTATCGCTCCAATTCTTGCTGTCAAATCCACACCCTAGGCAGATTCGTGCTCAGCACAACAGTTCCCCCCCCCCACCGCTACGCCAACAGGTGTTACTTTCCCCGCCAACAATTAGTTCAGGCAGGGAAAGCGTCAAAAATTGGGACTACTTTCTGTCCGCTCTCACGCGCTGATTTACCGCTGCATTCGAATCCTCTAGAAGTCTTTGTTGCTTCGTCTGTCTTTGATTGTTTTACAAGGGCTTATTCGACGTCTGACAAGACTTTCTAACAGAAGCGAGAAGATCCATTCTAACAGGAAGCGACATGATCCAGACAATATTCAGTGCAATGCAAGCCGATACCAGCCTTTTGCTCAACTTTTTAGCAATTCAGCTGAGTTCCGCCATCATTCCCTGCCCCTCCCCTCTCCCCCCCCCCCTCCCCCACCTTCCAGCCCCCCCACCCCTCGAAATTCGCCACTAAAGCCAGATTTTGCCTAGGAAATCCATCCAAGAGTGGTTTGACATCCCCACAATAAGCACAACTTACTCACCAGTTTTGCGCTGCGTTTGGAGGTGTGCATGATAGCCAACTCTTCGCAGCGATCATGAATCCCCCGCAATATAATTGTGCGTAATCTGACAGTCTGGTGAGTATAAAAGCATAGCGAAATGTGCGTCAGTCTAAGGCGATTATATGTAGCAACCAGGCCAGTCTGCGTCACGTTACAGGGTACATCGCGACTCTGCGAAAGTCATCAGCGGCGTACTTTGTGGCTAGAAAGAGGAGGGTCCCATTTGGCTTAAGAATTTTTGTAACAGTCTTCCTGATTTCCTGTCTCCTTGTTCCATCTCCCCACCCCCCCCCCCCCCCTAGTTGGCGGTGCCACAAAACTTCCATACGACTAGTATTTTCCAAAGTCGAATTAAGTAGCCGAGTAGAGTGTTAGTAGAATTTAGAAAGATGCTAGGTGCCATAGGGTTGGAGGGAGGTCGTGTCGGAGCAGGGAATTTTCCGGAGTCGTTGTCGGGCAGGACTCAGGTTGACTGGGGAGAGGGGAGGGAAGGAGTATGTAGTACATAAAGTTCACTGATAAAAATGACACTGTGAGCAAATAATGCATAACATTCTGAAGTGAAAAAATTCGAACCAATAAATAAATAGGTGTGGCGATACAAATGATTGTTGTAAAAAACTGTTCACGCTAGGTGATCATCAAAAAGAACACTGGCGTAAACAAATCAATCCAACGACACTATTACAACAGCATTCGATACGATTCTCGTCATAGGGATATCTTCAAAGACCGGTTGAGTGATTCGTTCAAAAAAGAACTCTTCGTGAAGCTTCAAATTGCGTCAGAAAATCAAGTTGCCGATTCATGGATTCAATACGACATCTTTTAAAAGCTTTAGTACGAAGCCCGTCCGAACATCAAAGGCGGCTGGCACGACAGTTTGGTACTCGGTCTGAAATGGTAGGAGGGGTGCTATGTAGTGGGGAAAATGGCGGAAAAGCGAAGTGAAGCGGTCAAATCCTGAAGGAAGCCTCTGCTCTACACCACCTAGAAAGCAATTCCGGACGAGTTTCCCGTAGAACATCGCCAATAACCGCTACGGTAGGTGTGGCTGCACGTATGTACTCATATATCCATGCAGCACCGCGGCCGCTTCATATCAATCCCTTCGCTTCATATTTTACTTCGCAAATGAAGCAATACGAGCATCAGGTACGGTCGTCCATTTGTGGGCGGGCGGGCGCGGTGGGCGTCCGGGTCGGTATGTTGCAGCTTGATAGGCCTTATAAGGGTACCTTCCTTGGAAAAGGCGCTACGCAGCGCCTGCTCAGGGGCGCGGAATTCTGTCCTGCTAAGCGTATTGATCCTACTCGTCCTGAGATTTACCGTGCCAACTGCCTCTAAGCGGTCGGAGAGAAGTACAGTCGGAACAGAATATTACTGAGAAAGCTGGAAAAGCTAGGGCAGAAATACAAAAAATAAACTAAAAAGGACGGGCCGCTCACATGTGATCAACCCACGGTTAGACATCGTAGTCCATTGTAGCATTTAATAACCATCACGATTACAAATGAAAAAGAAATGCGTGGCGCATCCCAAAAAGGGATTGGTCCACCGTGGAAGCTTTTACACTTTTATTACTTCATTAATCTTTCAAGTCGAAAAAGGAAACGCCCTCAGTCTCACGCACAACAGTCTTTGATGCGTAGCACCTTTATCAGAGCTAAAGGTGATGCCTGATTCGTAACCTTTAACCTGAACTTGCGAATAAGTTGGATTCACGGCACATCATCGGGTTGCATTGAAATTTGAATAAGCACTACTCCACCGTGGGAGCACATTACGATCTTCCTTCCCCCTTCGACCACTATACACCCCCCCCCCCCTGTTGTGTTTTTCGAAACGGCTGCTGTGACCTGGTTGGGATCCACTCCACCTTCTGCGCCCACTTTCCATTATTTGTAACCAGGGCACGTCCCGCCATCAGAAGAAATTCTCGCAAAAGACAGTCCCTTCCTTTCGAATCTTCCTCCCCTGGTACGACCCCCATCCGCATCTCCCATACTACCTACTATATTCCTAACTTTTCCACCTTCGGGCTGCAGTTCAGTAACAAGATCACAAAAGCACTCTTCACAAAGGTTGACAGGTTTTCGTCAGGAACTTTGACTGGTGGGTATGATTTCTGGTTTCACAAGATTTTGCAGGTCTTTACTTTATAGCCCGGCGGTTCGATGGGAAGTAGTAGGAGTGCAAAATGCCCCGAATCGCGACCATTTCCGGAGTTTTTCCAAAAAACTCCTCCACTTTTCCCTAAAAGGCTGTCATCGTGGGGGAGGGGAGGAGGGGCACAAATGTGCGACGTGCGCTGTTTGTAGCGTAGAAAACGAATGCTCCACTCTCCACTTTCGATTCTTTCACTAGGCATTGGTCGATGATTGAATGTCAGTTACGTTGTTGCTTTGGCCAATTATAGAAGATCGAGAGCATTAGACAGTATGTCACGCGCAACCACTGTTTTCTACGATTAGAATGTGTAGAGTACAAAGATGGCTATCAGCTCAATGCCTAAATTTAGCCGTGAAGGTCACCTACGACGGTGCGGGAATTTCGCATCTAGGAGAGAACAGAATGCTTGGTTACTCTATTGTAACGAGGATGACTGGAGGAACTGAAAGGGGACCGTTCTTACAGACTTCACGGAATTGCCGATGCGCTCTTAAAAATCATCACGGGATGGAATAGTAAATATAGATGGATGAACTAGAGGGAAAATATGAAATTACAGGGTCAGAACAACCTCATTACCTAGTTAAGCACTTTAAGAAATCGATATGAATTGCCATATAGACATGTCACGTTATGGACGATTGACAGAAACATAGCAATTGGAGGGGGAGATGGTGGCTAATCGACGACAACTGGAACAGCTACGCGATGCACTCGCCAAGGACGACGGGAAGCCAAACAGACCGAAAGCGGTTTACGTAGGTGAAGCTTGAACCGAGAAAAACGATTTCCACACATCACTGTCTTGAGTTTTTCCATCAATATCAATACTTGTCTAGCCGTACCGAGCAGGAAAATCAGCTGAATTTCTGCGACTCCTGAAAATTATTTAAGGGCAAGGTCAGCTTAGGTAGAAATAGCCTTAGCGAAAGAACAAAGAAGTGAAGGAGGACAAGGCATTCGATGCTGGTATAAGGACAGTAATGGCACGGTACGCGATAAGGAGCTAGCTAATAGTGTTGAAATATAGAAGTGAAATTGTCAAGTGTCTTGTCTGTAAAGAGAAAATGGCAAAGGAAACATCGAAAAGCCCCTCGCAGCTTCAACACTCTGCACGGTAAAAGGTCAAAAAGTACCGCCCCTGGGACGAGCCCTAGTTTGAGCATCCATTTAATGCTGCTTGTCCGGCAGCACCGCTTTTAGTTGCGGACTTTGAAGGCGGTATGTGGAGGCGGAGTCACTGGAAAAAGGGCGTTACCACTAGAGCAACATTACCTCTTAACTTCGTTACCTTACAACTTTTTGCTGCGAGACTGACACAAGGTAGTCTGCTGACCACTCTGTCGTTCCCACACAATCTTCTACTTCTTCATAGGCCATCGCGGACCGTTCCTTTGACGGATATTTCACAGTCGCAGAAACCTTTCAGTGAGCCCAGACCTGATGTAATGGATTTGTTGAGGATGGCGTGGGCCATGGTTCCTATTCTTGCTGGACTGACTACAGTTATGAAGAAATACCCCTGCTGGGCCAGTTCGGTAGACTACACAGGGCACACGTGAAAAAAACCGCGCGTTCTGCTATTGCGAGTAGGTGGAGTTCAGCTAACGAAACCTTTCTCCAGTCCACTTTATAGATAGGAGCAAAGCAAGATACCTCAATAAAGACCCTTGGCAGGCTTCACTGATAGTGAGTTCCCGGGAACTGAGCCTTTTATGCCGAAGAAAACGCACCTGCCCTCGCTCTCCGACTGCCATCGTATCTTCGCTTGTACCGTGCAATTCTATTATAAACGAAAAAAACGAAAAATACCATTCAGAAAGGGAACTCGTGACAAAGAATTGTCTTCAAATGCGCTAATTACATCATTAATCAATTGCACCCGTCTTACAGGGTGAGATAGATTACTTTTGAGTGTATGTGCTTCAGCTGAAATCAAGTAATAAAGG